TATCTCAATAAATTTGGCCTAAAGAAATAAGAGAATGGTGGCCGGGTGCAGTGGCTCACGCCTGTAATCCTAGCACTCTGGGAGGCCGAGGCGGGCAGATTGCTCGAGGTCAGGAGTTCGAAACCAGCCTGAGCAAGAGAGAGACCCCCGTCTCTACTATAAATAGAAAGAAATTAATTGGCCAACTAATATATATAGAAAAAACTAGCCGGGCATGGTGGTACATGCCTGTAGTCCCAGCTACTTGGGAGGCTGAGGCAGGAGGATCGCTTGAGCTAAGTGGTCTGAGGTTGCTGTGAGGTAGGGTGATGCCACGGCACTCACTCTAGCCTGGGCAACAAGGCTAGAGACTCTCAAGGCTTGAGACTCTGTCTCAAAAAAAAGAAATGAGAGAATGGGAGAAGAGTGATAGAGGGGGAAAAGGAAATTATGCAAATAAATTGTTAAATGACAGATAATATTCAGTAATTAGCAACATTAAATTCTTAAAGATGTGATTATTAATAGAAGTTAACTAAAGTGGTCACTATATCACAGCAAATGAAAGAAAAATGTCAGTTCTTCTCACTTGAAAATGAAAGTGCTGTAACGATTTTTGCTGCAACCAAAACTGCCTGTGTGGTTTATCAGCAACCACATTAATGGCAAGATGATTCCTAAATACATAAACCCTATTGTATTGGGGATTACTAAGACTATTAGAAGCTTAAAGTAGTTCAGAGTAGTTCTAGCAGTTATTCTTTTTTTCTTTTCTTTTTTTTTTGAGACAGAGTCTCGCTTTGTTACCCATGCTAGAGTGAGTGCCATGACGTCAGCCTAGCTCACAGCAACCTCAAACTCCTGGGTTCAAGCAATCCTGCTGCCTCAGCCCCCAGAGTAGCTGGGACTACAGGCATGCACCACCATGCCCAGCTAATTTTTTCTATATATATATTAGTTGGCCAAGTAATTTCTATTTATAGTAGGTAGAGACTGGGTCTCGGTCTTGCTCAGGCTGGTTTTGAACACCTGACCTCGAGCAATCCACCCGCCTCGGCCTCCCAGAGTGCTAAGATTACAGGCGTGAGCCACAGCCCTGGCCTATAGTAGTTGTTTATACTATTAATTTGTATGTTTATGCTTTTTATTTTTTGTATTTCTCTCAAGTTCATTTTAATCCTTTGGCATCTAGGATCTATAAACACTGGTCTGACAACTCTACCTTCCTTGGGCCCAATGGAAACACCAACATCTAAAAAATATTATTGTCCTTGATCTCTTTACTAAGATCTGAACTTGTCTTTGTCAATTCTCATGACTTACATAATCCCAGCATTCTCTCAGGCCAGTCTCATTGTGCATGCCTCATTCTGCTACTCAAGTGCCCAACTCTCCTACACAAACACCCATATTTAAATGAGACAAGGTTTTAGAATTTCCTCTGAAACTGAAGGTGATGGTAAAAAATACTTCAATTATTAGTAAGACAGAAAGCCACACAATCCCTAGTTCCTCTGGGGAGGACAGATGTCCCATACCACTCATAATTGAGCAGCTGTTCAGGGCTGAGCTCCATCCAAAGTACAAATTTGCTTTTCTAGGACCCACAGTCCATCTGGTACCAACTAGCTCTTTCCCCACCCACAATTTTGGTTTTCAAGCTGAAATGGCTCATTTTAAATTCATTTTCCTTACCTTAATATTTTTCTATTTCACAATATCTCTCCCAAGCCAACTTTCCTGACTCCTTGCTGCCAGCCACAACTATTAATAGTAAAGTATTTATTAATCAGAGAAACTTAGATACTAAAAATCAAAGGATAACCTCAAAGAGACAAACACTCATCCTATTGATATATAAAAAATGGTTGGCAGGACTTTAGTTCTGGGCTACTTTCTATTAAGTAATTGGAGGAGTTGAATATATGACACTGTTTTCATCTCCTCTGGTATGTTGGATAGAGAAGCAGAAAGAAACTGTGAATGTTTCTGGATCAGGGAAATTAATCTCCATTTCTACTATGCAGAGGATTTGACAGCACAGGGCAAACCAACTGTACAGAGGCCAGGTACCGTCTGTGGCCTGTTAGGAACCAGGCTGCACATCACAGCCTGAGCGCCTCCCCACTCTGTGGAAAAACTATCTTTCATGAAACCAGCAAAAAGGTTAGGGACCACTACGCTACTCATTTTTTATACAAATTATAGGCCTCTGGCACCACCCAGTGGCCTATCTATAAACAAACATGCTTATTTGAAACAATGTAACAGGCAATATAGAAGCTACAAATAAAAAAAGCAGTCACAATCCCTTTTGTAGCCAATTAATCAATTAGGAAAAATGAATATACAAGTATGATACAAGAGATATAAGTATCAGCATCATTAAATATAAATAAATAGAATGCTGTTGCAGACATTCCATAGGATCAGAATGAAAAAAGATATGGATATTAAAAACCTGACATGTCCAAAAAAATATATGTGTAGTCTGGTTTGGCTAGATGGTAAGGTATAGTTGACTAGTTAAGAAGTATAACAGAAGGTTGCAGGGGGAGGCATCAGGGAGATTATTTTGTCAAAGATAACAAGATGGACTGAAATAAACAGAAAAGGAAGGAGAAACACATTTAAAGGTTATTACAGTTGCCAACATAAAAAATAACAAGGGCCTGTCTTAGGTTGATGACAGCGGGAATTAAAAAGGGATCAACGTGAAAATCGTTGTAGAGGTAGATAAAGTATTTGGCTCAATACCCAGTTAAAAAGCTGAAAAAGTCAAAAAGATAAGTTTTGAGTCTGGTGCTCAGAGAAAATCAAGTGCCACAAACGAGAAGCTGGCATGTGGTGGAAAAGGTAAATTTGATTTAGAGTATGTTTAAAATCCAAATTGACATGTTAGGAAGGTAGTGAGAAACCAGTGTTTGAGTCTGGAATGTAAATAAGTTAGGGTCAGAGATGCAGATTTGTGAATCAAAAAGAGAAACTTCAACACCAAATACCTTGTAAATTATACTTCATTAAAGCAAACAAACAAACAAGGACCTAAGAAAGCCCTGAGGGAGGAAGTTCAAGAAAAGAATGTTAGGGAATACCTATCCTTAGTAAAAAGAAAGAAGAATGGAGACAAAAAATGGCCAGAGAAGTAGAAAGAATAATGAGAGAGTTAAATGCCTTGGAAGTCAAAGATAAAAAAGTTTCAATAAGGTGAGGATGGTTCATGTTTCCAATGTTATAGCAAAGCACAGAAAGATGTATACTGAGAAAAGACTGTAAGAGAACAGCTTTCCCTGTGGAATTACCTCAGAGATTGAGTGGAATGCTAATTTTTTCCCCATTTGAGGATCATAAAACACTAGGATTCAGCTATCTCTTAAGTATACAAATATTATTTCCTTCAAAAACTCATTAACCTGCCTGGCCCAGTGGCTCACGCCTGTAATCCTAGCACTCAGGGAGGCCGAGGTGGGCGGATCCTTTGAGCTCAGGAGTTTGAGACCAGTCTGAGCAAGAGCAAGATCCAATCTCTACCAAAAATAGAAAAAATTAGCCGGGCATGGTAGCGCATGCCAGTAGTTCCAGCTACTCGGGAGGCTGAGGCAGGAGGATTGCTAAAGTCCAGGAGTTTGAGGTTGCTGTGAGCTAAGCTAATGCCATGGCACTCTAGCCGGGGTAACAGAGTGACACTCTTGTCTCAAAAAAAAAAAAGCAAACCAAAAAACAAAAACTCATGAACCCACCAATTTATCATAACCTGAGACCCACGTCTAAATAAAATGTTTTTATTCCTACTGTCATTTGAATACTTTACATGTACTTTTATAAGAAACATTCAACTCTACCTTTCAGCTCATCTGCTTCATCACTTGGCTTTGAAAAGCCCTGTTTTTAAAGGCAGCATATGGTATAAGAGATAGAAAAGGGCTTTAGTGTGAGACCTGGGTTTGAATTCTACTTCTACCACCTACTTTTGAATTTGTTTCTTTTGTAAAATGGGATAATACCATTACCATGTAGGAATTGCTTTAGAAGACAACATATGCAAAGAGCCTGCCTGTACATAGTAGTCACTTATATTATTTTTCTAGCTTCCTATCTCTATAACAAACTGCACTTCCTAGAGAAGCCTGGGCTTCTTTGCCACTCAGCAATGATCCTCCAAACATCGTACACAATTTCCAAGTCTATGAAATCTGCTCACCCACTCTCATTGGCCTTTTAAAGAATTCAGAAAGCTCTGTTAATATCTTCTTTTGAGCCAGGCACGGTGGCTCACGCCTGTAATCCTAGCTCTCTGGGAGACCGAGGCAGGCGGATTGCTCAAAGTCAGGAGCTCGAAACTAGCCTGAACAAGAGTGAGAATCCGTCTCTACTATAAATAGAAAGAAATTAATTGGCCAACTAATATATATAGAAAAAATTAGCCGGGCATGGTGGTGCATGCCTGTAGTCCCAGCTACTCGGGAGGCTGAGGCAGGAGGATTGCTTGAGCCCAGGAGTTTGAGGTTGCTGTGAGCTAGGCTGACGCCACAGCACTCACTCTAGCCTAGGCAACAAAGCGAGACTCTGTCTCAAAAAAAAAAAAAATCTTCTTTTGAGCACATTCATGTTCTACAAACTGGGGTAAAGTAATTTACCCAGGAACCCACAATATAAACCTCTAAGTTCTTCTCCCTCTTGAAGGTTCTGAGGATACCCAAGATGGAGGGATACAAAACAGTCACCACAGATGAAGATGAAGAAGTCCTCCATCAATCAAACTATAAATAAAGAATTTCATTCCTTCTTTGGATTAATGTAATGTCTGCTGGTAATACCAAATGCCCAATGTTTATAGTTGATTGGCTTTGAGTCTAATAACAGTATTTCAGAGTATGTTAGGAATGTACTCTAACCCTTAAGTGCTGATCACTAGTAGCAGAACTCAGGAACTTTTTTATAATAACATCCAAACCCATTTATCTCAATTTAACTAATTCTAAGGAACAAACTTTTTCTATTGTGATTCCACCAGGATTTACCTTTACATTAGAATTCAGTTCTCATTACCAGTTCTTGCTGGAAAAGACACCAGAGAGATGAAAGGATGATGCTCCAAAGGTACAACTTCCTAATCAAACAATAAAAAGAGGCTTAAAACATCAAGAAGTGCCCTCCTATCCTCATTAGGTTAGAGGGCAAAGGCTGGGTCCTACCTAAGGTTAACAAAAAATACCTGATAATGTGCCAATGATTAAAGTACACTAGAGGAATATATTTTCTGGTTACCACTAGAGGTGAATCTTACAGTAGCTTTCCAGTTGGCTAAGAAAAGACAAACAAAAAAATGGCATGTGAGGCAAGCATGGATGCTTCACATTAGAACTTGGCCAGACCTCCTTAAACAGAATCCTCAGAGGATAAAAGCAAATATCTAACTTCTCAAATACAACGATAAAAATTTTTGCAATGGCCCAATCCATTAGACATACATTTCATTGATAAGATGCCATCTTTGTCATGTGAATCACTCCCCAATGCCTCACTGGCAAACTCAAGGCAGGCTCAGTTCATTAGTTTATCTATATCATAACACATTCCTGGGGTAAGGTGGTACTTGAGAAATTGGGCTTCTGGCCTAGAAACTATGTCCTGCAGAGGCAGAGATAAAAGACTGCTATAAAAAGTGACTAATTCACAAAATTCATCACACAATTTTTGAAGAGTTTTCATGGACTTTCTTCTCACTCCAAGAGTAGAATGACTAAATCAGTAAACAAGAGCATGTTAACCCCCTTTCTGACCAATTTTAACAGCAATGAAGTTTCTTGGATACATTCATGGAAATGAAAAATAAAGTCTTCAATATTATTACAAAGATAATCTAAAACTCACTGGCATTTGGCTCTAAAATGAAGATATACATAGTCACTACCTCCATACCTGTTGCTGATTCAATTAACTCAGTTGCCTGGGTTCCAAATGGGTGAGGGTAAACAACAGATTATCTTGGCTCACTGATAATCTGCTTTAAAAAAAAAAAGCTAATTCAATCTGAGAGACTTAAAAACTAACTCTAACACCAATGTTATGCAATAAAAAAATTCTGTTTGGATACCCCTTTTCTCTTTTATAATCCGGACATTTCCTAGACATGTTTAAAATAACTTTTCTACAGTAGAAACAACCCAGTAATAAATCAATCTATTATAAGCAGAGTTTAACTAGTCACTTCATGATTTTAAAAGCTGTAACTCACCTAAAAGGATACAGAACCTAAAGCATGAAACTCTGAAGATCTGTCTTCCACAACAGGGCATACTTCTCTACAGAATGTCTTGAGTCCTTTTGGCTTTTGAAATGCCAGTATTGCTTTAAACTGGTAACAAAAAGGCTGCTTTCTTTTAGCTCTCTGAAGACAAGCTTCTGTCTTAGGTTGGTCCGAATGAACACTAAGGACCATGCATTGGGACTGATTCTTATACATTTAATAGGCTATATAAAATGCCCTGCCAAGTTGGTGGTAGAAAATAAAAAGTCACAAGCATACCTAGCCTCCCACCCTAGCCATCCAAGGAAATACTTCCTAATGAGATATCACAATTCTTAGGTAACACCTAAAACCCTAAAATATAAAAATGTCTTCAGAAAGATAAGAATTTTAGAGTTGTGGTCCACAAACTAGAAATACTGATTCACCTGGAGCATAAAATGTGATACTCTTCCTGAAGGTTAGGGGGAAGGGGATTCTTATCCAGCACTTAAAGAAATAAAGAACAAAGTTCTTCCTCTTTCAACATATTTCCTTTTCTCCTCCTACCCTTTCCCTCACCCCACATGGATCTTCTGATCTCATAAAATAAAAACGCAATTTCAGCAGACCTTACCCTCACTCCCACCCTCACAAGTCTTTACCTTACAATAGAGAATTCAGACCCTAGTGATGATAATGAAAGTTGGTTAACCTTAAAATCACTGGTCTGAATAAGTAAAGTTGCCTTTACTACAATATTATCAGTACTTTCTTAATTTTCATGTGCCCCTGCCTCCTCCAAAAAGATGTGGAAGAAAAGCCAGCAAAAGGAGGTTTAAAATTCTTCATGTGTTGTCATATTATTAAGGTGGTCCACCTGTGAAAATGAAAAACGAACTCTGCTATCCTAAACTCCCTAGCCCTAATTCACTTCAGAAAGAAGTGCTTTTCATGGTCTAGTTCTTTGACAATCTGTTGATGATGACCACTGTGGAGCCCAACATGTATTCCCTCCATGGCAAAAAGGAAAGGCATAAATAAAGGGTAGTTACAGCAGAGGTGAAAAATGTTGTAATTGCAAGGGAAAGAATTACCACACTGTCAACTCTCATCAGGTGTGCTAACAGAGAGACCTTGAAGAAGAAAGCTTAAAAACAAAATTGATGTTTAAGAATGCATTTAGAAATATATATATATACACACACCAACACCTAATATTCCCTCCATCCTCTAGTCACTAACTCCACCGAACTGACCGGAATCATGTTCAAAAGACAATCCTAGGCTGGGTGGCTCACGCCTATAATCCTAGCACTCTGGGAGGCTGAAGCTGGCGGATTGCTCGAGGTTAGGAGTTCAAAACCAACCTGAGTGAGACACCGTCTCTACTAAATATAGAAATTAATTTACCAACTAAAAATATATATACAAAAAATTAGGCAGGTATGGTGGCACATGCCTGTAGTCCCAGCTACTCGGAAGGCTGAGGCAGTAGTATCGCTTGAGCCCAGGAGTTTGAGGTTGCTGTGAGCTAGGCTGATGCCACGGCACTCACTTTAGCCTGGGCAACAAAGTGAGACTCTGTCTCAAAAAAAAAAAAAAAAAAACCAAAGACAATCCTAGGTGGGCACTTACAATGCACACATCTAAACTGACCAATTAAATATGCATTTTAAAAATTAAATGGGAAAACATGTTCTAAAGCAAAATGCAAAGGAGTATAAAAACTAAGATATAACTTATTAAAAGCTCTATCAATGTTGTACCAAAAAAACCCACAAAATATTTTTTGAATGTCTACCGTATGCTAGGCATAATCTAAGAGCTTTATATAGGTTTCCTCATATAATACTAACAGTAACTTTGGGAGATAAATGGTATCCCACTTTTAGAATTGTGAAAATTAAGAGTCAGAGAAGTTTAAGTAGCTTGCTCAAGGTCACATGGCTAATAAATCTTAATACAGTATTTAAAGCCTGGTCGGTCCATCTCTAATGACTGTACTTTTCTCTTTGTATCTTTTTGATAAATACCCACCATCATCAATAATTTTATTCCAGTCCACAATAAGCATTTTCAAATCCAGGCACTACAAGGAATAAAACTTACCAATGTAAATCTCAACCTTTCCCTACTACAAATCATAAAGATATTAAGAATTGGCCAGGCCTACTTTCCAGAGCCACTCAGTTCTTCTGTCACATCCCATGAGCCTCTATTCTCTACTACTAGAAACCTATGAGCCTTACAAAAACTGCATTTATAAGTATGTTCTGACTCCCTTTTTGGCACTGTTCCATGCTGCTAAATGCACAGGATGATTCCTTTGCTAACCAAGAATTCTTCAAACCAGCTACAAAAGAGCAGCTATTTTACTTTTTTATCCAAAACTTCCCACTATGTCCTGAAAGTTGGAATTCTGAGGTGGACTGGACTCAGACACCAACTAAAGGCAGCATCACTTTCCAACTTTTAGTCACAAGCAGCTAAATAACTTCTTACTAGCAAGAGATGACAGGCCAAAGTCATTAGAGGGGGAAAGACCTGATTTGATTTGACAAAAAGGCTGAACAGTACTAGGCAAACTAATACTCAGTGTTCAACAACATAAGAAACATGAACTACACAAAAGTAAAAGAATAAAAAGGAAAGAATAAGACATGGAGTGGGAAGCACACACATTCACTTCTAGGCTTAACTCAAGTCATTTGAAGATACATAGTAATATTTAGGACAGAAAGACAAGAAACCCACAGCCAATTAAACTTGTAAAAGTAATTTAACCAGAGCTGAAACAAAGCCAAGAACAATATCCAAAATGTTTGGAAAACTGTGGTAGGAATTTTATGACTTAAGCCGTCAGCACTGAGCATCAGGGCAGGGTCTGTCTGGAACTCAGGAATTTAAATGCCTTCAACTCCCACTCACCTTTCCTCCTTTTATCACTGAAGTAAGGCCAGGCTGAGCTCCTGAGAAAATAGGTCTGTAGATTCACTGAAGGACTGAGAAAAGTTAAAGTTTACATGGCAAAGATGTGTCTTCTACTAACATAATAAAAATATTTATGAACACATTTCAGTAGTTTTAGGCTTCCTCAGAACTATATAAAACCAGAATAATTTATCTAATTCTGATCACTGAACAAATAACCCACACATATAAGGAAATAAAATGAACCAACGCGAGAATTAGAAGCCAGGCAAGTAATCTCCCAGCTCCACTAAAACATAGAAGTCATTTTAAAAGGAAAACCTGAATCTTTTCAACGCTAAACCATAACCAAACCACCTCTCAACAAGCCACAGAGCAAGGGGGGGAAATCCCGGAGAGAATGTGATAGCGCTAGTGCAGGTTTGTTTACAGACTCCAGTAACAATCATATGAGTCAGAAATTCAAACCACCAGATGCTTTCCAACTAACAGGGACCAAGTGGGACCGTTCTACGGTGTCCTGAAAGATTTGGGAGTAAAGGGAGGTAAATTAAGAAAATTATATCACAAAGGGTACAAGACCAGATGACAACTGACTCCGGGATTCTTGGACCTCGGCCTTCCGTACAAGGTGCTGGGCCTGAGAACTTGGGATGGGGGAGGGGGACACATTGCGCGGTGGCCCTGAGGTGACGGGGAGACGCTGGGTGAGCCATGTCCCTAAATCTAAGGGGAGAAATGGGAGCACACAAATAGGTCACCCGACGAAGGAAGACGTCCCTGTGAACTCTGGGGCTGGCTCTTGGGGACAACCCCAGAGCTAACCTGAGGAAAGGGCAACCAGTCCTCCCAGCGATAACTCGGTTCAGGGGAAGGAGAAAACCTGAGCCCTAGAAGCTTAGGAAAGGGGTCAGGTCCATCCTGAGGGGGAACTAGCCAGGGAGAGGGGTCAGGCCAAGCCGGAACGAGACACGGACCGGTTAGGTCAAGGGGGGGGGTGTCCGGCTGGGGCAGTTACAAGCACGGGAGTCGGCGAGGCTCAGCAGCCTGCTTCCCGTCTTGAGTCATCCTTCTGCCAGCGGCTGCTCCGACTGTTCCAGGCCCAGCCGCCCCGTCCACTGCCACCACCAACGCCGCCGCCATCTTACACTGGCCAGCGGCCGCCACCGCCGCCGCCTCCGCTCTCTGCGCTTGCGCCTGCGCTTCCACGCTTTCCGGCCCCGTTTGCGACGATGTGCTCGAAAAGACTGAGGGAGAGTGGTCGCGCGAGCTCTCAGCTCGCAACCCGCTTCAAAGGACGCATACGGGGCGGGGCTTAAAGCCAACGGAAAACAGAGCAGGGGCGCGTGCGCATTACCGAGGATGCAAAGTTTTGTGACAAGAAAAACAAATGCGAGTTAGGAACGTCTCACAGTTGTTTCTTGAAATAAACTTCGTTTCCAAGAGACTGGCAAGCAACTTCCTGGGCGACCGCCAATTTTGCCGTTTTTTAAACACTGGGAATGAGCAATTGTTGCCAGAAAATTTCTTCTGAAGTACCCCATTTCCTTTCAGGACTTTATTTCCTTAAGTGGTTCATTTTATATGTCACCGAGGACTGCTTCCCTCTGAGAGCCTCCATTGACCCATTCTTAAAGTTGGGACTCAGAAACTTGAGGTGTAGCAAAGCTATTCAAGAGACTCTTTCTCCAAAGAGGTGTGGTGTGAAGGTTTCCAAGAATGGGTTAGATGATGTAGGGTGGCTTTTGTAACTCTTCTTCGTTCTGACATCTAAAGGAAGAATGTGAGGCCGGACGCGGTGGCTCACGCCTGTAATCCTAGCACTCTGGGAGGCCGAGGAGGGCAGATTGCTCCAGGTCAGGCATCCAAAACCAGCCTGAGCAAGAGCGAGACCCTGTCTCTACTATAAATAGAAAGAAATTAATTGGCCAACTAATATATATAGAAAAAATTAGCCGGCATGGTGGTGCATGCCTGTAGTCCCAGCTACTCGGGAGGCTGAGGCAGGAGGATTGCTTGAGCCCAGGAGTTTGAGGTTGCTGTGAGCTAGGCTGACGCCATGGCATTCACTCTAGCCTGGGCAACAAAGTGAGTCTCTTGTCTCCAGAAGAAAAAAAAAAAAGCATGTGGAGGATTACTCCCAGCTGCCAGGCTGGGGGATTTTTTTTTTTTTTAACCAGAAAGCCAGAGTGCAAGAATCGCACCCCTCACCTCCTCTACCGCTGCCACCCTATTCCAAGTCATTATATGTTACTTAAGATTACTGCAATAGACACTGAGCTGGTTTGTCTCCTTCCATTATTGCCCTGTTTCAGTTAAACATAGGACAGCTGACGTGACATTGTAAAATGTAAATTAAGTCACATTATTCCTCTCCCCCACCACCACTCAAAAATCTCCAATAGCTTCCCTTCACATAATAAAAATCAAAATTATCACAATGGCCTCTAAGGAAGACCTACATGATTAGCACCTATTTTTCTCTGATTTCATTTCCTCCCAAACTGCCTAGCTCTGCCCTAGCCACACTGGCTGTCTAGCTGTTACTCCAACCAAAGCAAGTCCCAGCCCCAGGGCTTGCTTCCTTTTCTTGGCATGTCCATCTACTAGATCTTTACTAGACTTGATCTCTCCCCTTAATCAGGTTTCTGTTGAAATGCTACTTCCTAAGAGAGGCAGCTCTTGACTATTCCAACTAAAATGGAATCCTGCCCTATCATCCTCCTCTATCCTCTTAATCTGCATTGTTCTTTCCATAACTTTTTTTACCTATACCATTTAACCTATAATTATATATTTGTAATCAAGCTATACTACTAGAATATAAACTCTCAAGAGCAGGGACTATGTCTTTTTCATCTTTGTAACCTCAACACCTAGAAGAGGGCTACAGCACAAAGCAGCTATTTAATACCCAACCATCCTATTCATTCTTTTATTTACTCTGTCAACAACTACTTATTGAATTCCTGCTACATGGGAGGCCCTGTTTTAGGTGCTGGGACTGCAGCAGTGAATATAACAAATGAAGACTCTTGCATCCATGGAACTTGTTAGTAGAGGGGTTAGGATTGTGGAAGAGAGATACATACAGACAATATTAAGTGATAAAGAGTACTGTAAAGGAAAATAAAGCAGAAAGCAGTGAATAAAAAGGTATTACTGGCCAGGCGCAGTGGCTCACGCCTGTAATCCTAGTACTCTGGGAGGCCGAGGCAGGTGGACTGCTCGAGGTCAGGAGTTCGAAACCAGCCTGAGCAAGATCGAGACCCCATCTCTACTATAAATAGAAAGAAATTAATTGGCCAAGTAATATATATAGAAAAAATTAGCCGGGCGTGGTGGTACATGCCTGTAGTCCCAGCTACTCAGGAGGCTGAG